TGCACAATTTTTTTCTTCACGCAATGGGCTAAGTTGTCACAACAGCAAAGTTTTCAGCAAAATTAAACATGTAAAATGATAACCGTTTTGGTAAGCAGAAATTGTAATAAATTAATTGTTTATCAACATGCCCTGACTTATTACAAAAACTTAAGATTTTGAACAATTGTGAATCAAAACCTTACTGAGATGTGACATTGTGACAAGCCCAAGTCTCCTCCGTATAATATACCAAAAAATGAGAACCGAGACAAATTACAATATATATATATATATATATATATATATATATATATATATATATATATATATATATATATATATATATAACCATAAAGTCAATGCCTCTTTTATAGGTGACACTGAGTTCTGAGTTTTCCCTCCAGAACGGGACATGTTTAGAGGGCTATAAATCAAAAGCACAATGAACAGTTCTCTAGATGATTAAAGTGATTAACTATCAGAGACAAAATTAATGACTGTGTGTGTGTATATAAATGCTAAATAATGAGAAAAAAAGAAACAGAAAGGGCAAAGGAACATTGGGCTTGCGAGTAGAGTAGAGTAGCGAAGAGTAGAATAGATTTGTTGCCACACAAGCCGGGTCGGTGTAACATCTTCCAAGCTGTAATTCTTTTTAGTCCTAAAAATTGGCCCACATAAAGTGATACTTTTTTTTCCAATCCAGCCCTTGACCTAAAATGAATTTGGCATGCCCATATAAAAAGGACAATCCCCCTGGAGTAACCTGGGGTTAAGTGTCTTCCTCAAGGGCACAATGGTGATAATTCATGGGCTGCTGCTTGCTCTCAGGAATTGAACAACTTTAAACATGAAACCACCCAGAAATGAAAATAGTGTCATCGTTTACTAACCCTCATGTCATTCCAAACCTGTATAACTTACTTTCTTCTGTGGAACACAAAAGGAGGGTGAGTAAAAGAATACATTTTGGGTGAACTAATACTTTTTTTTTTATCTTTAGGTTGCATTACATTCTGTTTGTGAGTCTCATTTAGAATTGAATGATTCACTCATGTCGCAAAAACAATTTTTTAACAGGAAAACATGGAAGTCTACAGGAAGCAATCTGCATCTCAGAGTGAGTCAGTTATCCCCCATATATTCTGTCTAATGCTCTCAGAAGAGCCTCATGGTTGGGGAAACTGTCACACCACACTTTCAAACCTGAGCTCACAGAGCCGAAGCGATCACACAATCTTCAATCATCACACAATCGCACCTTCACACAATGCACATGCAGCCCTCGCAGCACGTAATGGATTTGTACTTTCAGAGTCCCACAGGTTTGAGTGCAGCACGGGGCAGGGACGAATGGTTCCCTTCTAGCAAATTTAATTGCAAAAGCTTTCCTTCATGCAAATATGCTCACGCTCTAAAGATTTACAAAATCAAATTAGTCTCTCATATATATGACCTACAATGGTAAAAGGGGTAATTTCATTCCTTTTTAATGTATTTTATATATGAATAATAATAATAATAATAATAACAAAATAAAAATATTATTATATAATAAATAAAAATATGCACGGTGTATTAAATAAAATAAATAAAAATAAACTAATTATAATACTAATAAATTATAAAATGTATGCTATTAAAATAAAAATTATAAATAAATAATAATTACAATTTAATCAAATTTAAATAAAAATTAATGATTTTTGAGTTTCAATATTTGTATATATATATATATATATATATATATATATATATATATATATATATATATATATATCCTGTATATATTCAATCCAGCCCTTGACCTAAAATTTATTTGGCATGCCCATATAAAAAGTTAGTTATTTTTTCTCTCTATCTATCTGTCTGTCTATCCACCCCCTTCATAATTTATGAATACTGTATCTTATATTTGTTTTAAGTTTGCCTGGGCTACTCTTTGTTATTTGTTCTAATGTAATGTAATTATTTTGTTGAAAAATTCAATAAAAAAAGAATAAAAAAATGTGGGGGGGGGGGAATTGGAAAACAATTGTTTAATAATAATTTATTTCAGTTATTCTGCGTCATCTTATTGTTATAAAAATATTCTTGATATCATAATAATTAATAATAATTTTACTTTGTTAGTAGTAGTAGTAGAAGTAGCAGTAGTTTTAATTATAAATTTAAAGCTTTAAAAATTATCCAAAATAAATTTGAGCAAGTACATAACCAGCCAATATTCAAAACTATCTGCTAGCCTTAGCTCGATTCAAAACGGTAAGCTTGTAATAATGTTTTTAATTCCAGTGGTTCTGGTGGATTTCCTCAGGGAAATTCGAACATGTCTTTGCGTCATCTGTACACATAAAGAAGAGTCTCGGCTAGTTGGCTATATTGCGTGTGAGGATGCTGGAGGTGGAGATTTATCATAGCCTTTTCTCACAGCACTTGATATAATTAAACTTATCAATTTGATGGCGGATCCAGAAAGGTTCAAATAACAATCACCAGTGACAACTACAGATTCACCCTTTGTAAAATGCAAAAGACTTTGTTCGGATTTCGGAGTGGCTGAAAAGAAGGATAATATCGGAAGGGCATTAAATGTAGTCACGCAATGCTGACGATGTTAACATTAATAATTTGAGAACAAAGTATAATTTGCACAGTTTGACGTGATATGATAAGCGATCGTTAGATTGAATCTGTGCAATTTACTGCAATGCTTTTTTCCCCCTTAGTTGGTCAGAACAAAAGTGGATGTTACTTGTTCAGATGACATTTTCCGTTGGAAATTCTTATGTTGGTTCCAAAAAGTAGAATCTGTGATTCTGAATGCCAGTATCCACACGGGCGCGGTGACTGACAGCCGCACATTCTCCTCAAAACATTGGATTCATCCGCGCTGTGCCGTGTCGAGGTACAACCCACGTAAAGTTGATAATTCCGCGAATAACTGCAATTGCAGATTTTGAACAGAGATGGCGACAAAGAGGAATAACTACAGACTGCAGCTTTAATTAAACCTAAATTAAAATGAGTGTGGGTTTGTTTCAATAAATGCCCTTTTAGAAAGCCGTAATTCCTAAAAGCTACTGTACCTTATTTCATAGTACATCTCAAATGATAATGGTAATGGTAAATTTGATTCTTTATGACCTCATTAAATGAAAGTTATTCATTATTTAATACACATCTCTCATCACAATGACATAAAGACATGCTAGGAAGGTAAGTATGTTAAAAGCCAAACATGACAACAGACACTATGAACATGCAAACTGCAATCAAAACAGCAGCATTCTGCTTTCACAGTGCCTTCACTTCAGTCTAGTAGTGCTGCAGTCTTCCCTTTCCCTCAAGCTCCTGTGGGAAAGGTGCGGACCTCGACGAGAGGCATGAGCAAGAGAGGAAATGATGTCAGCTTTGTCATTTTTCTCCACAAAGGCGGTAAATGGGTCATTCACACAGAAGGACCACAGCCAGGGGCCACCTGACTGAGCAGCTACGATTATTTTTGGATAGGAGGGAGGTGTAAGTTGGCCAAATCATGTCAGGAGAGCTGGATAATGGAATGGAACGTTTTTGCAATGACACTACGGAGATGAATTGTGCGCAGAGCTATTGTTACTTATGAACACTTTGATTGAGCAATGCCTCTCAGTATGAGAGTTTGAATGGTTTATATATTCGTGATGATTAATCTGGGTCACTGTAACGTAACCATAACCAACCTCCATATTTATATATGTGCCTGATGAGAATTACATGCATGAGAAAAAAGATAATCGTCTTGCACCTTCAAAAAGCTGGATTTCCCGACCCTGAGTTGACCTTCTGAATATAAATCTATAAATGAAAGATCTCCATCATCCTTTGTCTTTTATAAAACATGTGAACAGCAAAGGGAACCTCCCTTTGAACTATCATTCAATTACAGTATTGACACAAAGCTAGTTCTGATGGGAGTGCCTCATGGTTCTGTCCTGGGCCCGCTATTATGATGACTGTAAAAGATCTCCTTCTTCCTGACCATTGATCCTTGTTCTTTGATTTACGTACACGAAGGTTAATTACATGCTCAGAACCTTACCGCCAAGTATATTTACATTCGTGTCATCACCTCTGCTGTCTCCGCACAATAAATGCGATATTTGCACGTGACCTTTTGACATTTCATTTTCTGTACTCATGCATGCGATAAACTGCCACATCATAGGCAAAGTAAAATCTGACCCATGACATTTCATTTCATCATCATTTTTTATTCTATGAAGTTGTTTAATATTTTAAACATCTCAATGAAAAGATGAAAGATCATCATGGGACACAGACATTTTCACTCTAATCCATCATTCAGCACCATATGACTCTTTAGACCTCAACAAATCCCTTTATCTGCAGCCAATCCAGGTGTGATCTCTTTTCCCTGTAAGATTATGAATTGCCTGTTATTGTCTGGACCCTGAGAGCTGTCAGGAAGCCAGTGTGCTTTGTTCAGAATCTGAAGAGCAAAAAAAAAAAAAAAGATTATGAAAAATTTAAATGTAAATAATAATACAATTTGATAAAAAAAACTTTTTGTATAAAAAGTTGATTGATTTTATCAATCAACTCTGAAGAGCAAAAATAATAATAAATTAATATCAATGCAAAACATAAATAATAATAAAATGAAATTATCAAAATCTAGTCTTTTGAGAAAGATAAAATAAAAATAAAAATATTTGTCAAAAAAAATAGATAGATCCACTACATTTGTTTTTATGATACTCAGTGTGGTCCTACAAAAAATAGATTTGAAAGCTAAATTGGATTTGCTGCATGAAAAAAAAAAGCCAAACAGAAAGAAATGGCAAAAAGAACAGTCACACAACTGTGCATTTGTTAGCTTTTGTAAATATAAAATTGTATATACACACACATTTTCAAGAACTGCAGCATATACCTTTATCCAGAAAGCACACACATTATGTCACACAAAGACTGTGCCATTATCCCAGTAACCTCGAGCACTTCTTTAACAGTACCTGGAAGTGTGGTGGAACTGGCAGAACGTTTGAGACACTGCTTGTGCTTTTAAGAGCGGTCTCTCAGAGTCAGAAAGCTCGAGACACCTGACAGGCACACCATAATTACAGACGGGAAGATCATAGACTGCTGATGATATTGGTTTTACTCTAGATCAGATGAGTTCAAATTCACTTCCAGGGAGGAAGTTGGTTTGGTTTGATAAAGTGGCAGATTAAATTTACTTAAACACCAATCAATAAGTGACATCGCACTAAATTCTAAAACACAATGTGCCAGTTGTCAAAGAAAAGGGTCAACAGACTTATCTCTGGACTCTGGAGGAATTAAGTTTAAATTATAGTTCAGACAAAAATGAAAATTCTGTCATCATTTACTCATCCTCACGTCATTCCAAACCTGTATGAACTTCTTTCTTCTGCAAAGCACAAACTGAAATGTTAAACAGAATATTGAGGCTGCCGTTTTGCATAAAATGTTCCATTCCGCTGTAGCTCTCAAATGTTATTTGCATTTCCGCATATACAAACTTGGAAATTTTTTAAGACACATGAAGACGTTAGCCACAAAACATCTGAAATCCAATGCAGTTTGGCATCACTGACATCAAATGACATAGAACAGCATGAGATTGAAAACTACTGAAAATGAATGCAGGTGAAAACCAATAAGGACTTTTTGTTGTTTTTGTTTTCTGGTTGCTAAGGTGTTCTGAATGGTTGCTAGGGTATGATGTGTTGGAAGACTATAACTGTGTCTAAAATTGAATACTTCCCTACTATATACCATGCGAAAAACAGTACGCCAAAAGAGTAGTATGAATGCATAGTATTTGAAAAACAGTAGGCGAAAAGTCCCCGGATGACCTACTACTTCCGCAGAGATTCTGAAGTGCACATTCGCTGGACACTTTACCATCTCATGAGGCCACAGGAGAGGATTTCTGAATGAAAGTGAAGCGATGCAGCTGACGCTGGTAGGTCACGTGATAGTAACATGGCGGATGTAGTACAATCTGAATTTCATTCATACTACCATATTCATACTATACAGAGCGTACATTTTAACGGTCAAAAAGTACATTCAAATGGAGTACCTACTTATACAGTATGCGATTTCAGACGCAGTGCATGACATGCACTCATAAAAGACACCTGATCCCATGTGAGAACGAGTAGAAATCATAAATCCGTCCCTTGAACTGCACCATATCCACAGCACACCTGAATTAAAACTCTATTCTCAGCCGGCATTATCTCTTATGCCACAGCCAAATCTCCCAGCCAATCACGGCGGACCTTTACACACCCCAAAATAAATAAATAAAAGCATGTGGTGCCTGCTGCCTCTAGCACGAGATGAATTATGTGAACTGAACCAAGACCAGAACCACATTACATCACTAATACATAATTCTGACAGGTCATCAGTCTGAGGAGAAAAAAAATAAATAATAAAATAAGAGCCGCAATCCCATCACACAGCCTGACAGCTTCAATGAAGTGATAAGTTGAGTGGTTTCTGTCACAGACGTTAACGCTTAACGCGGCTGCTGTGAGGTCCTTTGGGTCTTGCATTGTTCAAGGACGACGCTTTTCCCACAAGACACTTATATAAGCAAACAGCAGATGGTGAGAGTGGACTCTAGAGAGGGACGGTGACGCTTTGGGACAACAAGTTTTGTCCTCTTGTAAAGGGAGAGATTAACGTTACTCCCCAACTGGAAATATTTTGAACAGTCGATTACAACTCTTTTTGACAAATGACAAAAATAACCCTTTATTTATTTATTTTTATTGATTTTTTTTAAAAAAAAATTAAAAATCAATATCTTGCCTATTGTGCACTTTGAAAGCTGAAAACAAATGTAAATGTTTGAATGTACACTATTTATTCTGGGATTTTTTTTAAGTACTGTCAGAGCTGCATGTTAGGACTTGTAAGTGCCGTTCACTCAAGGGAACCCAGGTTTAAGTTTGACCTGGGTCATGTCCCAATCCCATTCCCCTTCACTCACCCTAATTTCCTATTTTGTCTACATTCCACTTTCCTTAAAAGAAAAGGCAAATAGGCACAAAATGAATGAATGCATGAATGACAAGAGGATGAATTGGGTCATTCCATGTCATATCAAATTTCAGAAACTTCCCAGGCTCAAGTATTTTTTTTTGAAGAAAGACGAACATATACAGTGATGAAAGCCAAAATATCAAATGTCATGGATGTATATGTACCCATTTTCAAGATGGCAGCATCCTTATTTTATTTTTACCCAGAGATTGGTAAGTCTATTAGTAAAATTTGTTGACTTTTGCAATGTTTGTTCCATTATATGCCAATGGTGACAGTTTGAAAATGGGAAAAAGCACTTCTTGTGTTTTGCATGCCTGTAACTTCTTTTTCTTTTAAAGAAGATTGTCTAAAGAACAAATAGTGTTGAAACTAGAAATGCATCTTGTTTTTTCCCCATCAACACAATTGCATAGAACATACCTGTCTTTGTGCAATAATGTTTTTTTTTTTTACCTTTATTTAACCAGGAGGTCCCATTGAGATTCAGAATCTCTTTTACAAGAGAGACCTGGCCAAGGTAGCAGCCAAATCACAACAAATGCATACATAACAAACACTAAAATTACATTTTCATGATAAAAGTAGTACAAAAAGAACACAATGAGTCTCTTAAGAAAAACAAGAACATGTCTCCATCACAACACTCTTTACAGTAGTTTTAAATTCATTTATGGACATAAGGGTTTCTAACCTTAGCTCTTTTTGTAGATTATTCCACCCCCAAGGTGCTAAATAAGAGAAAGCAGTTCTTCCCAATTCGGTTGTAACTCGTGGCACGTTAAAAAGCAACCAATAAGCAATAATGTTTACAATGCGAACAATGTTCTTTTTCCAAAGTTTGCATGACTGTATCTTTAACAGTGTTAAAGATCCTTCTAGATTATCATTCTTCAACTTTTCTTTTGTAATCTGTAAACTTTTAAAGCTCTATCTATCCATCTTTCCATCCATCCACCCCTATCATTCCATCCATCCATTAATTCATTCATTCATCCTTTATTTAGATCCCATAGTTTACGAGCAGCTTCTGTAATTTCTTTCATACCAGGTTATTGTATCCTGCTTTCACCCAGGTTGTATTTAATAATAACTTAGAGGGTCATTAAACATTTAACACAGTATCCAAATGGAATGAAGCAGACATCTTAACTCCTGCTCCAAACGCTGCCCTGTCAAGGTCAAAGGAGAGGAAGCGTAAAGTTGGATATAAAAGGCCTGGTAATGTGCATTCCACTCATCTGCCGCCACAGACCGACCAATCGAATCTCACACACACTGAGAGTCTCTAAAGAGTCTTTGCTCGTTCCTTTGATCTGAGCACATGCATTTCTTTCTGCACAGTAAGGCTAAAGCAGAACGTTTACCCGGCTATAGCCAGAGGGAACACGGCCAATCAACCCAACCCCGGGTAAAACATTAATGCATCAGGTGATCTCTCTACTGTAACATCAGGAACACCCACAAATATATTCATTTATTATACATTCATTCATTAACATGCACGATGAAGCATGCAACCTGATGGAGTTATTTGCTTTTTCATTGCCCGGGATATCCAAACCACAGAAGTGCATAATTATATTTGGAAAATATGATTACTGGGTTAAAATGCCAAACTTCTTGTGGCTCTGTTTTTCATGAATATTAACATAGTAAATGCAAACAGAAAGCACTGAATTTGAAAACTGAACATTACTTTTGTTGTTCCAACCAGATTTGATTTTCTTTGTACACTATACAATGGTCACATAGTCAGGTCTATGTAAAAGTAATTAGTTTGAGGGTAAAATGTCACTGATTAGGTTTTAAATTTGCTGGATGGCATCACATAATAGTCCTGTGCTTTGCTTTACGTCACAACTTTTTGTTTTTACCCACATAAAATCAATATCAATGGCACCAACCAGTTTAAATGCATCAATAATCATGACTGTATATTTTAAATGTACATTTTTAGAGACAAAGCGTGTGGCACTTGCCCACTCAAAACTACTGCACAGTATTATATTATCATCCACATATGAGAAAAATCATAAAATGTAATAATTTATAAACAAAATACCACACCATTCCTCAACCAACCACACAATTTAAACCATCACACATTAAAAACATGTGGCAAAAAGTTTAATACTTTGTTCAAATCAGCCAAATCAGCTCAACTATGAGCAATAGTAACAGCGACTATTATAAACACATTACAGATGGTTTGCAGTATTGTGTACAGATATATTTGAAACCATAATACTGTTAGATCAAACATCTGAACATCTAACATTATTTGAGAACCATAAATGTGTTTCTGAATTGCTCTTCATGAGGTAGGCAAATCTAATAATATAATACAGATTATATATTTGGCTTTCTATAGCAGGTGGAAGAGATCATGTCGCACACATTTTTACAAAAAATACGGAGACTTCTAGATAGTGATAACTCTGCTCAGATACGGTTATCGTCCTCTTCCAACATCCCTGCAGAAACCACCGAAGATTAATGTTTAAAGTGTACATGATATTTAATGGGGAAAAAAAAACGCTAAAAACCTGATGGCAGGTAATATGTGTGTGCAATGATAATGTAATAACTGGATGATGTATTGCTTGCTTCAGAGTGTTAATACGCAGCTCCTGATATTTGCCCTGATTAGCTCAAATATTAAGAGTAATATGGTGTCATTTCCTACATTTACATAATGCAGAGGAAGACCCTAGATTTAGGTTCATTATTTGCCCACTGTCCAAGTAAATGCGGTTGCACCAAATTCAAATGCCACAGTTTTGTGTACCAACTTATCCAATGTAAACAGCCTGCAACAACAAATAGTATGTGAAACAGTATGCAGTATGTGCAACAATAAACATGACAAATATGAGTTTGGGACGTAAGTCACTATGATACAGAGTGCAATGACCATCAACTTGCATCCTTGGTTTCCAGGAGGAATTTTACCATCCACTTTCATTATATAGGGATTTCAAATAAATATTTAATAAAGAATAGAAATTCATGAGCCAAACCTAATATGCCTAATACTAGAAATATAACAAAGGTTGATTTGAAGTCAAAAACATATTTTAAATTAAAAAAATTAAGATTTCGTAAAGAACAGCAAATGCCAACCATCTTGATCATTTGATATATATATAAATAAACCCTACTAAAATAAATACATATAGTTTTATTTTATTATATTATTTATAGGTTGTTAAATTTTTTTAAAGTTGAAATTACATTGACTGATGGGAGAAGCATATTTCATCAATTTACAACTTCAGAACTCATGCTAGGTTTGTCTTGAAAAGTCTATAGTTACTGTATATAATCATCAAAATCAATTTCTATATGGTTAAAAGGAATGGGAATTTCACTTCCAGAACCTGGAAGACTGTACTCTATCCTAGTACCTCAGTGGCTCAACCAATGGCATTGGTCTTCAGGTTTGAAAACCAATAAATAAGTAGATTTTGCTGCCAGTTTATTTCACTGGTAATGAAAGGCCATGTAATGCACATTGCAATGTAGGATTCGGTATCTCAGAAAGTGTGTTATAATGCTATATACTGTGTTTTTTTGCCAAATGCAGCAGGTCATTCAGGTGTTCAAAGCAGACAACTTGCTTAAAACTAGCATACTTTGTGCAGTGTACTTACTGGAAAAAATAGTAGTATGTTATGATATTATGGTATTCCAAACACAGCCTACATGTGGTATAGTGCTGAATGATACTCATTGCATCTGTGTGGGTGTTTTCTACCCAACAACAACATGGAAAAAAGAAACCATATTGAAACATTTAGCAAAACAGCCAAATGTTTCGGGAAAAAAGTTGAAAAAATACACACACATACTGTACACACAAAATGACTATGCTTCATCGATTCCTCCTCATCCTCTCCTCTCAAATGCTGTGACACAGCATTTCACTCTTCATCTATAACTCTTGAAGGATTAATCTGTATCAATGAACAAGAGAAAACTGGACTCTGTCATCTCTGCTTCCCTAAAGACTGACAGCAAACCAATGGCCAGAGACGTGGCTGAAGAGTATAGTGCAGAAACAGTAAATAACTCATTCACAGCTCAGTTTATGAGTAAATGACTCACTACAGAGAAGGTTTCAGGGCATAACTGAGGAATTCAAAGGTACATATTTTGGTTTTTGTAGCAGGGGTGATTCACTAACGTTAAAATTGTGCTTTTTTTTTTTTTTTTTTTTTTTTTTTTACATATAGGCAGGTTTCTTAGCTAAAAAGCTGCTGCAATACCAAACCTGTATGCTGGGGAAATGAAAATCACTCTTTCACCTAAATTGAAATGTTCAGCTACGCAAATTTTGTTCATGCAAACTTAGGGTGGCCCCAACATGTGAACACCGATAAATCTTCAACTTGAATGTAAATTCAAAAGAACTCTTTGCACAATAGCTATAATTTAATAAGAAAAAAGAACCTCTGACCATATTCAAACTCATTCTTCACCGCAAAAGTTTTGGTGGAACTTCTATATTAGAACACTGTCAGCATCATAAATGAGCAATGAAGCAGTAAGTGGTTTGGATCACATGGGAATTTTCCAGAAAGTTCTTAATGGATCTCATCTACTCCTTCCTTAGCTTTTTAAATACTACCATGGAACCCGCTTCACTGCAGTCCAAACAAACACTCGACAGTTGCGAAATAGTCACTCTGTGCGTATAGAAGATCAATCTGTCGCATATTCAAAACAATTGCAGGTAAAAATGGAATGAACTTACCCAAGAGTTGTCATGGTGACTATGGTGTACCAGAAGGAGGCTGGGATGCTGGTGAAGTTGGTTCCCTTGGTGCCTTTCTCGGCGTAGAACATGACGGTGGCAAATATGATGATGGCCATGGTAAGGGAAAACAGGAGGAAGCCCAGCTCAGAAGCACAGCTCTTCAGAGTATAACCCAGGATCCGCAGGCCCTGAGAGTGACGTGAGAACTTGAAGATCCGGAAGACGCGGAACACCCTCAATGTGACAAACGCGCCACTCACATCCTCGTTCTCAGGCATGACCAGGCCGATGTAGTAGGGCATGATGGCGACGACGTCGATTACGCTCATGACCGAGCGCATGAACTTGCAGCGACTGGGCGCGGCGAAAAGCCTCATGAGGTACTCGAACGTGAAGATGAGCACGCAGGCCGTGTCCATGCAGAAAAACGCCAGCGTGTACTTCTCACCACAAGGCAAGTCTTTCTTGCTGCCTTTGAGGGGTCGGCAGGGGACAGTTTCCACTACGTTCGCTATGACCGAGACGGCGATGAAGAAACCTGTGACGTAGTAGAAAACGAGCGCCATGGTGCTTGTGTGGGGGTTCTCGAAGGCGCGCCACAAGCGCTCCCGAGACGTGCTCTCCGGCGGCAGTGGGGTGTCCGTCGCCATCTCGGCCTCTGTGTCCTCAGCCAGACGTTCCTGGTTCTCCTTCTTGCGGTCCCTGTACTCTTCCTGGCAGCAGTCTCCGATAATGTCTGGCACGATGCCGTAAAATGCCAGCTCCTCATCGAAGGCCTGAATGCACTCCTGCCGGGGGTAGTGAAGCTTACCCGTACGGTAGAAGTTCAAAATGTGGCGAAACATCTCTGGGTCCCTGTCGAAGAAATACTCCTGAGTGTCCTCGTTGTAGAAAAACTCCTTTTCTGAGCTGCCCAGCAGAGTGTCGGGATAGCGATCCAGCGTGTTTTTCCACGTCTGGAAACGGAGCCCGCTCACGTTTACGAAGAGGATCTCGTCGTTGCGGCTCTTTTTGTCCACGGGCGGTTTGGGCATATTTTTCTTGGCTAGAGGAAGCCAGCCAACAGCCGCTGCCCTGGCAAACGGTAGCCATGTTGCCACTCCGGCAGCCATCTTTAATTTGGTGGCTAAACGTTGTTACTGAAACAAATACGCCAAAGAGGAGAATGCCAGTCAGCCCTGAGAAGATTTTCTGAACCTTTCTGGACCAGAAAAAGTCTTTCCAAACTAATCATCCGAGCCGAGGATCTCAGACTAGTTAGTTATACGTCTCTCGGTTTGTCTGTACATCTAATAGACTAGGAAGGAATCCTCTGAGAATGTTTTCATTATCAGCTACAAAAATGTGGGGCTGTCAAAGTGTCAAAGCCATTTGAATCTCAGGATCTCCATTTGTCAAAAACGATCCTGAAATGACCCATTAAAATTCATCATTCACAAGTCTTTTGCTTGCAGATTGTGGCTGTTCAAAGAATCAGTTCAGCCATCTAAAGGGTTAACCCTCTCGGCCATATCTTGCAGGCTCTGCCGGAGAATACTGATTTGTTGCTGCGCTTTGCCGTTTCAAATTTTTATTAGTCTGTGATGAGGCTTTCTGAAGTTAGCAAGAGACTATTTCTGCTCTGCTACGTCCTCTTTTTTCGGTTGTAGGAGTTCTACCTCCTTTTTATGCAGTTTCAATACTCTTGTCTTTATTTTTCTTTCCTTTCTTCAATCTTCAAGTGGCTACTCAATCTTGCAAGGGGCTGAGAAGGTTTTCAGTGGGAGATCTCAGAACTAGACACCTGGACTCCAAGTATGGCCTTTCCTTCACGCACCTGTCATGAAACAACATAACACATTAGGTGACGTCTGAAAGCAACATGGAACACAGTAGCTACTTTCATTAGCTAGTTTTACGTCAGAGACCGTTTAAATAAACAAGCTTCACAGTCTGTTTATGAGATCTCTCTCACGCTACATTCATTGATACTTTAAACGGAAAAAGGTGTGGCATTACAGCTACATAGCTATATATATATATATATATATATATATATATGTGTGTGTATAATTATAAGTACATAAATACATATGTGATGTATATGCAGTAGACACACACACACATTTAAACTCTTATATAAATGGTACATAAAAACTATTTATACTACCCTACAAAAAAAGAAAAAAGAAATGCTTTGTTTGCACAGAGAACTGTCATTTATGAATGCAATTCAAGTACATTTTTTGCATTCAGGTTCACAACAATCAATAAGTAATCAATAATGTGTTTCCCCACTTCTAAGCTAATGCAACTTCCTGTTGCATCTAAATGTCTCTGTATGAATGAATAATCTCCCTAAAGCAGAATCAGGTGTAAAACAATACACAAACTTTTTAGGGTAGCATCACGCAATCACACGCCTGCCACTATGGGTCCTGGCGGAGGACAGGTGACCCAGCCCAGTCCCAACATAATGCATACAACATGCTCCCACAATCAAAAATCAATAACGCATTACTCCACACCTCCTGCACCATAGACAGGAACATGCACGTAGGAGATGAACAGTAAATTCAGGGTTTACTTGTGCCCTAATGCAGCTTTAAAGCAAAACGCATTATTCAACTTATTCTATTATTTTTTTAACGCAAATGAAGCTGCTGCTAAATTTCCTACAATTCAAATCCTAAAGTGACTCCAAAAATCAATGAGTGCTGTAAATAACATGACACAAAAAAAGTCGAGCAAGTTGCCAGCAGTAACGATAAGTAATGATCTATCTGTATAGACTTGTTACCTCTGGGATAGACGAGAGGATGAAGCGTTCAATGTGACAGAAAGCTGATGAAAGAAAGAAAAAAGGAAAGAAACGGCAATCTCTCTGCAGCAGTCCTAGCATCTCGCATGCAGCTTGTGAAGGAGCAACCGTAACGCCTAGTCCTCCTTGCCTCTCTCTCCTCTCCTCCGCTGCTCTGTTGCATTCGTGCGCTGCCTCTCTCTCTCCTTCACTCTCTCTCTCTCATTTGCTTGTTCAACCTCCCCACCCTCTTTCTCTCTCTCTCTCTCTCTTTCTCTCTACACTTATACACATCCATTTAAAGCTTAATATCTCTTGCAAATGCATCCTGCCCTACAATGGGTCATAGAGAACGAGGCAAAAGCTCAGGTTTCACACAACCTGACAATACTAGATCACACAGTCTACTTGTGCCTTTTGTTGCAGCTTACTGCATTCAGACACATTGCATCCTCTCCTCTTTCAACAGATAGTTTCATGTTGCTCCACCTCTGTCGGCAGTGGAAGTAGCATGAGAATTTCATTCTTATTTCAGTTTCCTCTAAATGTGTCCGGGCACAATGGGGTGCCATCACACTTCTGAAAGGACTCTGTAAGGAAAATTGCTAGAAAAAGATGAGAAAGCTCTGGGAGATGCTATGTGAGGTTTACATTACTGATTTATCACTGTACCACGATATTGTACAATTTAATTTCAGCAATGTTGTGCATGTCTCATTTGCCATTATAAAATTGCAGTATATACATTATCAGTTAAACGTTTGGACACACTTGACTGAAAATGTGTTTCTCATGATCTTAAATATTTTTAATTTAAAACAGGGGTTTTCAACCAGGGGGCCGGGGCACACTAGGGAGCCTCAGCAAACACCCAAGTGGATAAAATTATGAAACAGAAGATAAAACACGTATTAAAGGTAGGGTAGGCAATTTTTTTTTATAACTTTTTGTTATACTGGTTGAAACACTCTTCACATCCTGATAGCAATCAATAATACAAGTGGTCTAAATATTAAAACATGTACATAGTATATCTTCTGTGGAAGTCTCAGGACCAAAAAAATGCAAACGGTCCAAATGCAATGATACGATGTCCCACCTGCCTGTCAACATATGTATCTCCGTATCTCCGTACCTCCATGGACCCTGCTCGCGTAGACATCACACATCATCAGCGCAGTAAGTAAGGTAAGGCAGTGCAGAGTTGTGGACAGACAGTCACAAAGCGCCACAAACAAACAGCAGCCGCCTTTTACAGTTCCTCCTGAAACAAAACAAAGAGCTTATGCTGCGTTCACGCCATGTCATAAGCGCAATTACAAGATGGAAACCCGTGACGTTCTACCCAGAGCTGTTCACGTCTTCAGACTCGATGCGTTTCAATGGCAACGCTATCAATGCCGAAATGAATCTGCAGCAGTGGGGTGCTACAAGTATGAACTTTTTATTTTTATAAAGAGTTTATTATTATTGCAATGTTATGCTCTTTAAGACATGAGGTAATTTAACGGCGTCTCTCGTGACGCTTTGCAGACTCTGCTCTGGCTGTACGTGTTCATGTGATTTGAAGGAGGCGTGGCTTTAGAGACACTCTGAAGGGAGGGTGGGATCACATGCTTTCAAAGCTACGTGTAGCTTGCCATTGCTAGCTTCTCCGAAATTGCCTACCCTGCCTTTAAAATAAGCTAAAACAACTCAAACAAAATCAAGATTTAAATCACCCCTCAACAAAGGTTTTTTCCCCCCACAGTCTTGGAAAACCTGCATATATGAGGTAGCCTAATTTTAAACGTGTTATTTCTAGACCTGGAAACATATTCATATTCATAAAAATTCCCCTTAGAGTTTTAAGATTGTTTTAGTTTACATTACTAAACTAAAACAATCTTAAAACTCTAAGGGGAATTTTTATGAATATGAATATGCATTTTAGTATATTATTTTAGTATATTATATTATTATTTTTTATTATTTTGGCCAAGACATAAATTGTGAATAAAAATATTTTGATAAAGATGTCTTATAAAAAAAATATTGTTGACAATGTGAGGGTCTTGTCAAAAGTCCAAACGTTTGAGAACCATTAATCTAAATACTTCTAAAAAATGTGTTTCTGTTGACATTAACCCTTCCTACGCATACATTTCTTTGCAAAACTAATATTCTAATTGGCTTTATGCCATCTTTGCAGGTATCTGGAGTAAAACGGCTCTATATTTAATGAAGCACATACAAAAGAACTGAACTGGACCTGTTTTACAGAATACAGATGTTTGTTGTGCATAACCCCATTGTTAAGGATAACACAGGAAAAGCAGTCAACAAGTGTGCAGCATACATACCATTTAAAAAGCATCCCAGCATGCACTACGTGGAGCTGGTTGATGAATGTCCAGACTGTGTAGAGCTGGAATCTAGACAAAAAGAACACATTTTCATTGGTTTGGTCAATTCTCGTACTTCCAGTTGTGTAATTTCATAGTTGTAATGACTCATTATTATTATAAATGTGGAAATATTAATAATAAAGAATGAGTAGGTATGTCTAAACCTTTCATTGGTGTATACAGTAATCAGCATTCTTGATCTCTAAATATCAGTAATGGCATAATCCATTGAAAACCCATATCAGTCAACCACTAATTTACATTCGCAAACTGTTCTTTAGTCAACATACTGTATTATTCATGAGGACAAAGGTTGTATTCAGCAGACGGACACTCATCCATTTAGCATTTATAACGACTGCGCTTTCCACTGCTGTCTTGCGGATGCAACACATGTGACTGGGGTCCTGAATGGCTTGTTGTGTTCCACCTAAAATAGAGGGATTTGATTGCATTGGTATTTCTGTCTTGTTTACCCTGTGGAATTAACCATTTAATGTAATGGCATACTGTACACAGTACACACATGCATGTAAACATTGTCTGGTTTCAATTATAGAGCAGGTGTTAAATTCCTCACTGAAGTGTCACGTTAGGGACAGATTGAAGGGATGTGCAATTCCATTTGGA